ACCCCATCCATCTCCGTTTAGTGGATGGTGGGGTATTATTTTTTTACAAAAACGTTGTAAATGTGCCAAAAATTAAAAATGTATCTCCCCTGTAACAATGTTTAAATGCCAACCACCACATCCGAACTTTGATAAGTACCTACAAATTTTATCAAAGTACAAAGATAAAAATATGTCAAAGAATTTGAAATGTTGGGTTCAAGGGCGGCTCCAGAAGGGGGGGGGCGGCCCCCAATGCCCCCCCCCCCCCCCCCCCCGAGAATAAAATTCTTACGATTTATGGGCCTTTTATTCTAAAAAATATGTTAAAAGGGGAATATCTAAAGGCAATGCCCCCCCGAAAATTCGTCTTGGAGCCGCCTTTGGTTCGGTTTGTACGTAGAAAAAATCATAGAGACGCTATAGAAGTAGGTACATTATAAATCAGGTGTAATGCAAATAAATACACCAAAAATTTAATTTTTATGTCTTCTAACAATTTTATATTCTATACCTACTTTTTATCATCACCCTGTATAAATGTAGTAACTAATTTTTTGCATTGTTTTTCTGAAATTAAGGTATAATGCCTAGCTTTTTATTTTCCTTTTAAAAACACATTTCAGACGTAGATACTTTATAGATAGGTAGGTACCTACTTTGCAATTGGAGAATTAAAGTAATAAATAAATAATAAATAAATAAATAATTCACATGATAAAATTGCTAATGTTGAACATAATTTACCTAAAACTATTTACCTATCTGCGATAACTTAACAGTCTGTTACTTGAATACGTTCCAAAAACAAGTATGACAAATTTATAAAATCTTTAATTTCACTAAAAGTAAATCTTACAACTAATATCAGTAGGTTTGATAAACATTTATACCTATGACGAAATCAAATATCAAAATATAGTTACTTATTTTTTCAATCCCTAAAAAAAATTATGTAGCGTCACTAAGAGACAAATCAACTTACACATACACTATCTACCTACTAGGTTTATTACCTACCTATTTAATCACAAGCACCAATAGTATAAAAAAATGCTCACCTTATAATCTATGATAAAAACATTCTCACAAATCACACTTTATTTGAAAATGTTCACAATAATTTATTAAAGCAATAACTAACATTTTTAAAACGATCCAGCCATTTTGTGTTACCACTTACCACCGTGAAAAGAAAGAGTGACAGATAGTGATCACAGATAACTAGAAAATTATGATATTTAAATCTGTGCTTTGATTGGCCAGGTTTTTCTTATAAATTAACTAAAAATGATTGTAATTTTGTAGAATTTATATAAAATCAATAGTTTTTTGTATAAACCACGTAATAAAGCATCTATTAATTACTAGAATGTATTTTTTAGACACAGTTATTTAAATACTGTAAAACAATTGGTCAAGGAATGCACAGAACACTTAAGGAATGCTCCCTTCTGTCATTTTTGGTAAAACTATAGACAAATGTATAATATAGAAACCTATAATGCTATAATTCAAATAAAATACGTTTTTATACATTATAACTTTGGTCTAAATTAGAAAATTATATGTTACAAATTTAGATTTGATGAGGGAAATATGTTTTTTGTTAATTATTTTACAATTTCCGCTTGAACATTTTGAAATAAAGATGAGAGATTTTTCATTGGATGGATATGACAGTTGCCTACTAATAAAAAGTTTGTTCCTATATATTATCATTTGTCTATGAATCGATGTCATATATACAGGTTGTCCCAAAAAAATTTATATAATTGGAAAAAAGTTTTCTTTTCACAAAAAAAATAATTATTGATTAAAAGTTCTGCATATCACTTCGGAATCAATGTTCATGAATTAAATTTTGTAAAATATAGCTGATATATAGGGAAAACAAAAATAATGATTTATAATGGGTAATTAAAATACTTTTAAAATTTCTGTATTGTGCTTCTAAACATCGCACAGTTGTACCATTTTTTATTACATCGGCAGGATCATGTAGCATTTCATTGGTGGGGAGTTCAGGGGTAATCAATGCATATTTGGAATATTTAATCCAACTACTTTTCTACAAAGTTGCTACTCCGATTGAGACATTTGTCTCAGCATGTTATAAACTTTCCAAAACCCTCGTCATAGAACGCAGCCGCTTGTGCTTGCAGCTAATTTTCTATACTGGTCTGTAGCTCGAGCCAAACTTATGTCCTGATAACCAGCTTACCATGCGAGCCAATTTTTGGACTGTATGGTGGATAATCAAATACTGTCCATCATATCAAGTACGCTGCACAAACTTCACAATTGGCTATTTATCCCACTGGTGCAGTGTTGCCAACCGGAGAGAAATTTCCCGTTTTGCGGGAAATTTCAACACAAAAAAAAAAGGGAAAAGTTAACTCAAAAAAGGAATTTTTAATCCAGTTCAAATTGAGAATAGTCGGGAATACTTGGATAACTTTTAGAAAGGACTTGTTGGTTTATTAACAACTCAGACTGAGGACCTTGGGCCTTCTTTTTAGAAGCTGGACAGAAGGACCTGGTTTATGAAATTATAAGCTTTTTTTAGAAACAGAGATTAGGGTTTTGAGGAATGAAAAGGTGCCATCCCTAAACGGGAGGAAGTTTTATCATAAAAGTGGGAATTTTTAAGGTAAGTGGGGGGAAAATTATTTCAAGATTAGTGACACTGCACTGATGGTGTAGGAATGAATTAAACCAACGGGCACTAAACCTTTTCTTTGGCCCGGTGTAAATTCCACTAGACCTTCCTGTCAGCGATGTGGTGTTCACTGGTTGATATTTCTCCACCAGCTATTTAGCATCAGGAGTGAATTACACTCGACATATGTATAAGGAATAAAGAGGAAATAAACTAGGTAAATAAGGTGGTGTAATTTACACTGGTGGACATAGCACCAACAGCGAACAAAAGAACCTTATTAGGCAATCTAATGGCCTGTCAGAATGGACAAAAATGGCGGATGCTTGGCAAAAATAACAAAGTTTATTAACCTGACTTTTTCATTAGTATTTGACTGTTATATCATACAATTAGTATTTATGTATTGAAAACCAATAATAAATTATGTAATTTTTCAACTAACCACACCGAAAAAACTCTAAATACTCAAACCTCACTAGATGTATTTTTGTCAAGGGAAGCACATACTTTTATTTTTTGCCAAGAGTCCGCCATTTAAAGTCACGTGATTTGGATTGCCTAATTGTTCGAATCATGAACTGACAACTGTGACTTAACGCAATTGACGGGCATACTATAGACACTGTGCAACACAGCTGCGTCATCGAATTTTCACCGTGTTTTTCAATCAGCGACCAATCAGATCTTAAAACAAATAGTTCTCGTACAACAGCTGTATTTTTTGGACCTATATATAGTACTGAACATTTATTATAATTCAAGGGCAGCAACCATTTTTCTGACCAGCTGCTAATTGTTTCAAAATAAATTTGTAAGACCCCTCTACTTTCTTGCGGATTGCAATATCGTCTGTAAAATGTTACAGAAGTATGTAGTGTTAGTGTATAGGAGGAATAACATTGGTCCCAACACAGAACGCTGTGGTACTCCACACTAGTAACAGGATGATTTTTTCATTTCTTGATACTTGACCATTAATTGTGACGCATAATTGGCTATTTCAATTATAAAAATAGGATCTTATGTCGTACTTTATCAAATGTTTTTGCATAGTCTATATTTATATCTGTAGATTCACCAGTATCTTGCCGAGTTGCCTATTATTTCAAACATGACAGCAATGTAGTTACTACTGATCGTTTAGGTAGTAGGTAATTAAATTCTAATTCATGGCCCATTTGGATCCGATTCAGTATTCCAATTTATTTCAATTATTGATAACGGGTTAGAACCCCTGTTTTATCACTTTTAAGAACCAATAAATAATACAAAAATCTGATAGCCCCATATTACCCAACTAATTATTAAAACACCTATAACTACACCGTTACCAAAATACCTTCATGTCGCCCGTTATTCCCGATGTAACTGCTACGAATTATGTAACACCACCGATGGATATAATTGATAGCGAGAGAACGGACCGACGAAACGGGTCGATACGAGAGTCCCCCAGGAGAATATCAACATTCAAACAACGTGCAACACGTGAAACGAGGAAAAAATAATGGAAAAGATAACGAATGCGTACCGCGTAGCGTAAATCACACGCACAGGATCAAACGAAACGGTAACACTTGTTTAATATTAAAACTGGTAGATGTGCGAACTTATTTCGTCGTTAAATAACTAATATGTAGTACCTAGGTATAGTGTGTACCAAGGAGGTTTCAAAAAGGTAGATCCTATATCCTAAATTTGAATTTAATTTAAATTAGAATCACATTTAAATTTAGCACCATATCAAGTTAGTTCGCCGGCCAGTCACCTTAGCGCTAGGAACTTACTTCCATATATTGGTAAGGTGCACTACTATTTGAAATGTGAACTTAAAAATGCTATTTATCGATTTTAAGCAGATCTAATTATGAATCGGTTATAAGAGAATAACTATATTGAGCAATGAAAGCACGTGGAATCACGAACAACTGGTTTGAGTATCAAATGGTTCGGCAAAATTACTGGTATTTGTGTAGCAAGTTCGCAAATGGAACGTGTCGAGTAAAAAGTGTAAAATTGGTTAGAGTATGTTTCATGAAAGTAGTTAAATCTCTAAACTAGGTTCAAAGTTTAAAAATGTATTGTATTTTTACATCTTGAACGCATTTAAGTATTGAAAAAGGTTTGAACCACATACATGCCCTATGCAACTCACCATGACTTGTTCGAATTACCGAACTCAACTTATAAATGACAGTGACAACTGACACTATTGACAAAGATAACTGTCAACTCTCACTACTGACACTGACAGATGAAATGTAAATAAATAAAAATATTTCAATAATTTCTGTTTTAATTTTAGTTTTTTTATCATTAAACGAGAAATGTGAAGGTCGTGTTTGAATCATTAGTCATGTCAGATCCAATAACTATTGATAACCGACTAACCAACTATAGTCCGACATCAAATACATCTGGTACTACAGATAGCGACTTTCTTCCTACCAGTCTTGCTTCAGAAGAATTAAAATTGGCTTTAAATAAAGTAAGAAATTTAAATCAAATTTTTTTATAGTAACTGTATAATCTTTAGGAAGCGTCTGAAGAGGAACTATTAAAAGCTATCAGTCGTTGCAAATCTCTGATTTTAGAGAGTGATCAATGTTCTAGTGAACGAAAGTGGGTTGTTAGGCATTTAATAGAATTGAGACTTCGTCTTGAAGAATGCAGGGATGCCATGAATGACCCACTGTATGTATTCTTTTGTACTATTTGATTTATAGCTTAATAATAATGTTAACATTTTAGACATCCAAGAAATCAATCCAACAGGGTTTGTAAAAGGGTTATTAAGGGACATCATTTAAATTTGCAACCTCTACTGCGTCATACTGTTTCCAAATATTGTGATCATTGTACTGGAACAATATGGTAAGTGAAATTCAAACATGATATGCATTATTCTTTTTAAATTGTATATTCTCTTCTACCAAATTCAAAAAAAGTTTATTAAGTTAATCTTAGCTTGTAAGAAACATTTTTTCATTTGAAACCTAAAGTAATCATGTATTATTATTGTGGATTTAACTGCTCTATTTCTATTTTGTCAATTGATTAAAATAAATTAAAAAATATAATGAAACAAAGATTATTTTCACATTTAAAGATAATTCGAAACATTTCTATTTAAATTTAATCTAAAACCAAAAAAAATGTATTAATTAGTTAATTGATAAACATTAACATTTAAGGATGGTGTGAGTCCAATTTGAAAGAAGAATAATGATGCAATGACTCCATGTCTGATTGCAGTTTGAAAATGCAGTAATATATGTAACAGGATACAAATGAAATAAAATATTTTTGATTATTTTAGATATTTTGACTGAATGTGACTGGTAAATTAGGTAGCGATCGACTGACCAACCCTAACACTAATTATTATGAATGTTTTTATTATAGGAGCATGGTGCAGGCTTGGTACGAATGTGAGGATTGTGAATATGCTTGCCATCATAAATGTCTAGCTTCCATTGTTAGAGATTGTGCTCATGTAGTAGCCAGTGAAAGGGGATCATTTGAATATGAAATATGTCCAGAACTTGGTTTGTCTTCACAACAATATCTGTGTGCTGAATGCAAATCACCTCTTCCTATAAGTAAGTGCTGTTGTTGATTATTTTTTTATCATTATTTATTTAATAATATCACTTTGTTGTAATTATTAAGGCCAAGATTTAAGCTAAATATCTTTGTTAGTAAAATTAAGGTTATTTTGTCCATCTAAAAATGCTTTATGCCTTTTACAGTGTCAGATTAAGGTTATATTAACTTCTTTTTATTTGTATGGTCTTTGTTCAGGAGACAATTTACTCAGTTCATTATATATAAATTAATTTTTATATTATTCTGTTTTTTACTACCAAAAATATATCAAGGGTTGTATATAATTTTTCTTATTATCTTAAATATTCGAATATACATAGTTAGGTACCAAAAAACATTTATTCAAGGTTGTTATACATACAGTATTTCTGAAATTAAATTTGTAAAATATTTAGTGGTACCTATACAGGGAAAAATCTTTTTTTTCTGTAAATGTATTAATTATTAGAATGTCGCGAGTCTTAACTTGGACAAAATATAAGATGACCAACTTTCCAAAATCCAAAACAGGACAGAAGAGCCAACCAAAAAAAGCCAATATTACTTATCATGATATTTCTATTTCTGAACAATATTGCAAAAAAGATAGAGAAATGCAATATATAGAACAGAAAATACTAAAAAAGGGCAATTTAAGTCTAAAAGAGAAGCTGGTTGTCCTATTTTTTAAACCTATACTTTGGGGACTCAATTTATTAATGACATCTGACGAACAGAGCTATCAAAAATCAATCTCTACTTGTCTAACAGTACTAGAGGGTAAATATAAAGTAGATAGATATTATTCATTCTCGCTCGAATTCTTAATATTGAAGCACTATTGCCTGATGTCAAAAAATATCTTTGAGCTAAGCTATTCTCGACTGGTGCTTGAATAAGGAAACATTTGGATAAGACTGTAAAACCGGGACGAAACTGGACATTTATTTTACCCATGGCAGTAAAAAAACATAAACCTGCCTGGCTTAAATGTAATTTTTAATTCTTTTCAACATTTTCAAATGAAATTTATTTTACTCTTTAGCATAAATCAACATTTTTTATTTTCCCTGAATTACCACTAAATATTTTACAAATTTGATTATTTATTATTCATTTCTGTGATGCAGGGTGTTTGATAACATCAGTGTTGAACTAATTAATATTTTTAATGAATTATCTTTTGTTTTATATTTGAATTACCCTCACTTTTCCCATTATGACAATATTAAATATATGGAATTGTACATGGTATAATTAGTATTACCTATATGACAATCTTCTGGATTTCAATGACCTGTTTACTGCAAAACAAACAATTGATAACTATTTTTTGCAGTTAATGCACTGATCTGTAATACTGGATAGGATATAGCGTATTAAACTTCATTTAAAAACTAATTTTATTAGTAATTCAATGCACTACATATTATTATGTTAAATAAATCAAAAATGAACTTAAAATAAAAAAAAAACAAAACTAAAAAAGATTGCATTATTATTATTAAATTTATTTTGTTTGAAGTGCAATATGGAGATATTTAGGTTGTTATAATACTAATAAAATTTTACAATACGTAACAGTTTTTTTATCCCGCTAGAGGGCACTAAAATTAAAAGAAACACAATGAACAGTCATATTGTTAAAATTCTCCATAAAATTACCTTTTTGATTATGTGTCATACTTTTGATATTTGCTCTATTTAAATTGTATTGATTAGATTGACGAAGAGTAGAGGAATGACATATATGATAGTTAAGGATATTATAGAATGGTGTATCACTTGAAATAAAAATCTACCCATTTTTGCGTTTCTTTCTAATAAAATTCTACTTGCAAGATATTCTAAGATAAGGCTGGTGGTGTCCATCATAAATGAATCACCCTGTACAATACCAGCAGAAGAGAATAGTTGTGGGGGTGCTATGTTATTTCACATTTACATATGTCTTCTCATTGTCCCCACCAAATCAAAGGATCATCTTTTTTTTTTTAATTTTCTTTGAGTTAATGTTCATTTTAAGTTCCACCTTCAGTTTTAGTTATCGTATCAGTATCAGTCTTTTTCCTATATGTTGGTGATTTATTTGCTGTCATACTGGTAAGTTCTTCAAAGGTCTTCCAAAACAACCTACGAGAAATCGAGTCCTGAATCTTTTGGTTTACCTGTTTTGATTTCTTAGTAATTTTCATTAAACATAATCAGTCAATTTACTATATTGGTAAATTTTTATGTAACTAAAAATAAATAAATTCTAAAAAAGTCAATAGAATTCAAGAACATTTAAAATTTTATATGTATTATTTTTTGAATAAACTTACATTTAACTTTTTTAATTCAAAAGGAAGAGAGTTGTACAATTTATTAGAGTTTATACATAACTTCGTATAAACAGTGCTGTTCGATGATGTGGTATTGTATAAGTTGTGACAGTGCGGAGGTTATGTTATGTTGGGAATGGGGTGTTAATACACTGCGACCTAAAAGATCTATTATGCCCCCTTCTGTCGCGAATGCACTAAGGAAATGTCTCAATGTCTATAACGACCTTTCCAATCCTATTTTCTCAAGGAAGTGGCTTCAAGTTAGGTAAATCTCCCTCTTCTATATATCCTCCTAGATATAGTGCCCTTGGATTCTACACATTCAGTATATATTCTAAAAGTTGCTCACCTCTTTGATTGGTGTCGTTGCTTCCCCATACAGTGCTGTGCGCGTTGGCGTCGGATCCAAGAAGTAATGGCAGATGTCTTCTCTGGCAGTACTCCACTAGCCCTCAATACTTCTGGGGGTGGTACATGCCCATCTCCGGCGAAGTAACTAGAAGCTATTACTATGTCTTGCCGCCTCATTCCTAATTCCAGGTATGCTCGAATTGGAACGAGATCGCGCGTCATGAATTCTGAAAGACAAGAATATTACGGAGATTATGATTAGAGGAAGCCAAATATCGCTAGTTACAACCAGAGATAACAGGAGATAACATTGATAAAATATAATATTTGTGATGCCGACATCGATACGTTCCAGTTGTAGAATAGGAATGAAGAGACATGTGGTGTGAGGTAAGGGAAGGGATAAACAGAAGGATTTGACTACAAAACAATTTTTTCAATGAATTTATGTGTAAGCCGTTGTACGCCGATAATAAACAACGAACAAAATGTCGAGCCATTTGCCACGTCTAGTACAAAATACTTGATATCCAACTTAATACTAAGTTTGGGAATTTATTGAAAATATTATATCTAATTTAGTTAAATTTGATATAACTAAGGATTCAAAATTTTTAGTTCTTACAAATAAAATCTATTTTAGATTGCACTTCCGGTGACCTTAATGGCATACATTTTCACCATGTCAAATATAGCCTATATCCTATCTAGTGAATATTACAGATCAATATGTAAAAGTGTTTTCACCTTGTATTTATGTTTTACTTTTATATCGCTAGCTGCTTCCCCAGGAATAAGTTGCCTTAGTAGATTAATATTTCCAGGTAATTTATAATATTAAATATGTCTGCATGGTTTGTATTTTAATGTTTCTTTTTTCCAAATAATGCATGAAAAAGTTTCTTACCTGTAATCCATTTATTTACATATTTATTTATTGGATATTTTACAAACATTACAAGAAATTTAAAAACAAGACAAACCTTAATATCTAAAGCACTTAATTTTAAAATACAACCCTCAACTTTCTTCAGCTAACATTGAAAATATCTGTTGTTTGTACCAAAATTTGGTATTGTTTTTCAGATAAAGTTTGGCCAGAAGCCCGCAGATGTGACTACACAGGCCTCTACTATTGCACCGCCTGTCATTGGGGTAGCTCAGCTGTCATCCCAGCTAGAGTCGTCCACAATTGGGATCTCGAACCGCAACCAGTATCCCAAGCGGCTTTACAGCTGCTTAAGATAACCTCAAGACGACCGATTATAAACATAAACAAATTGAACCCCAAACTATATTCTCTGGTAAGCAAACTAGACTTCGTCAGAAGATTGAGGGAGGAATTGATCGGAATGAAGAAGTATCTAACGGTGTGTAGAAAAGCCAACGAGGAGCACATACTATGGAAACACGTGGATAATCCTCATCTATTGGATAATACAGATATGTACAGTTTGCAGGATTTGGTCGACGTACATTCCGGGGATTTACCCTTCAAACTGCAAACGCTGTTGGACGTTTTCTCCAACCACATCAAGATTGATTGTGATATTTGTAAAGGTCGTGGTCACATTTGCGAGATTTGTTCCAACGACGAGGTGGTGTATCCGTTCGATACTACGTCTTATGTATGCCAAATATGCTATTGCGTGCTGCACAGGTATTGTTTCAGTAAGACGACTGACTGTCCCAAATGTATGAGATTGAAGAGACGAGAAGAGGAAGTAGCTGAGAATAATATCGAGTAGTTTGTAGTTATAAATTGAGAGCAGATTGCAACAAATCGAAGGGGTGGATTATTTTGGGATTATTTTAGATATATCAGCCCTGCCCTCCGGCAGTTATTGGTTGTCAGGTCATTGGATCTGTAACGTGTGGAGAGTGGCTTAACCTATGACAGATCTTACTAGATCCATTGTGCAGTGGGCATAAATTGTTGTATACATTGTGATATCTAATAATTTTACTTATGTAACAAATTTGAAGGCTTAATCATATTGAAAATGCTTTTTTTAGTAATATAATCGGATCACTGTTTTACATATCGTGTACTCGGGCATAAAAACAGTTTAAAAAATAAAATGTAAGAGATATAAAATTAAGAAGGCATTATTTGTTGATTAATTATATGTAACAATATATTTGCTTGTCGATTTCTGTTTAATTTCTTTGATAAAATACATAAAAATACTGATGCATCCATCATCTGCTGAAACAATTTTTTTTTAAATCCAACACTATTTTTATTGGTATTCTGCTTTAAACTTTCAATTATATATACCTATACCTCTTTATTTTTAAAATACCTCCTCTGTATAATTATTTTTTAATTATTAATGGATGAAGTTGTAACCACTTTCGTTAAAATTGAATGTGGTACACGACATATGTGACTGATAAATATAAAAACTACCAAAAATATATATTGAAATGTTTTTTAATCTCTTACATTTTTGTTTTAAGCTTGTAACTATTTTAGTAAAAGTGTAAAAGACGAAAATTATTGCCTTGTTAATTTATTAAATTATTTAATTTTAATTGTTTGTGATGAAATAAATATTTTAAAGAATAAATTTGGACTTTTATTATATTTATAACAAGGTCTTGATTGCTATGTATTCAAGTATCTTTAAAACTTACTGGCATTAGTTTACTACATATCAATAGTTAAAATAAAGAAAATAAATAAACATGGAATATATACCGATTATTTTAGGCAAGAATCGACTTTAAAATCTTAAAAATGGGGCAAACTGCACTGTTATCGTTCGGGTAGAAATGATGTCCAAGGGTAGGCAACTTTATATACACGCAATGTGTATATCGGGTTGTCGTAGTGGTAGGGTGTTACAATTTTTTTTTTAATAAAGCTTGTCTCGAATTATCCTTTATTAAAAAAATGTATAGAGGGTGGATCATAATAAATGAGTCAAAAGAGTAGTCACAGATTATTTGGACTGAAATATGGGTTTGCTCATTTAAGACAGTAAGTAGAAATAATGTCCAAGGGTAGGCAACTTTATATACACGCTATGTGTATATCGGGTTGTCGTAGTGGTAGGGTGTTACAAATTTTTTTTTAATAAAGCTTGTCTCGAATTATCCTTTATTAAAAAAAATGTATAGAGGGTGGATCATAATAAATGAGTCAAAAGAGTAATCACAGATTATTTGGACTGAAATATGGGTTTGCTCATTTAAGACAGTAAGTAGAAATGATGTCCAAGGGTAGGCAACTTTATATACACGCAATGTGTATATCGGGTTGTCGAAGTGGTAGGGTGTTCTAAGATTTTTTTCTATGAAGCTTGTCTCGAATTATCCTTTATTAAAAAAATGTATAGAGGGTGGATCATAATAAATGAGTCAAAAGAGTAGTCACAGATTATTTGGACTGAAATATGGATTTGCTCATTTAAGACAGTAAGTAGAAATGATGTCCAAGGGTAGGCAACTTTATATACACGCAATGTGTATATCGGGTTGTCGAAGTGGTAGGGTGTTTTAAGATTTTTTTTTCTATGAAGCTTGTCTCGAATTATCCTTTATTTAAAAAATGTATAGAGTGTGGATCATAATAAATGAGTCAAAAGAGTAGTCACAGATTATTTGGACTGAAATATGGGTTTGCTCATTTAGGACAGTAAGTAAAATGATGTCCAAGGGTAGGCAACTTTATATACACGCAATGTGTATATCGGGTTGTCGAAGTGGTAGGGTGTTCTAAGATTTTTTTCTATGAAGCTTGTCTCGAATTATCCTTTATTAAAAAAATGTATAGAGGGTGGATCATAATAAATGAGTCAAAAGAGTAGTCACAGATTATTTGGACTGAAATATGGATTTGCTCATTTAAGACAGTAAGTAGAAATGATGTCCAAGGGTAGGCAACTTTATACACACGCAATGTGTATATCGGGTTGTCGAAGTGGTAGGGTGTTCTAAGATTTTTTTCTATGAAGCTTGTCTCGAATTATCCTTTATTAAAAAAATGTATAGAGGGTGGATCATAATAAATGAGTCAAAAGAGTAGTCACAGATTATTTGGACTGAAATATGGGTTTGCTCATTTAAGACAGTAAGTAGAAATGATGTCCAAGGGTAGGCAACTTTATATACACGCAATGTATATATCGGGTTGTCGTAGTGGTAGGGTGTTACAATTTTTTTTTTAATAAAGCTTGTCTCGAATTATCCTTTATTAAAAAAAAAATAAAAAAATGTATAGAGGGTGGATCATAATAAATGAGTCAAAAGAGTAGTCACAGATTATTTGGACTGAAATATGGGTTTGCTCATTTAAGACAGTAAGTAGAAATAATGTCCAAGGGTAGGCAACTTTATATACACGCTATGTGTATATCGGGTTGTCGTAGTGGTAGGGTGTTACAAATTTTTTTTTAATAAAGCTTGTCTCGAATTATCCTTTATTAAAAAAAATGTATAGAGGGTGGATCATAATAAATGAGTCAAAAGAGTAATCACAGATTATTTGGACTGAAATATGGGTTTGCTCATTTAAGACAGTAAGTAGAAATGATGTCCAAGGGTAGGCAACTTTATATACACGCAATGTGTATATCGGGTTGTCGAAGTGGTAGGGTGTTCTAAGATTTTTTTCTATGAAGCTTGTCTCGAATTATCCTTTATTAAAAAAATGTATAGAGGGTGGATCATAATAAATGAGTCAAAAGAGTAGTCACAGATTATTTGGACTGAAATATGGATTTGCTCATTTAAGACAGTAAGTAGAAATGATGTCCAAGGGTAGGCAACTTTATATACACGCAATGTGTATATCGGGTTGTCGAAGTGGTAGGGTGTTTTAAGATTTTTTTTTCTATGAAGCTTGTCTCGAATTATCCTTTATTTAAAAAATGTATAGAGTGTGGATCATAATAAATGAGTCAAAAGAGTAGTCACAGATTATTTGGACTGAAATATGGGTTTGCTCATTTAGGACAGTAAGTAAAATGATGTCCAAGGGTAGGCAACTTTATATACACGCAATGTGTATATCGGGTTGTCGAAGTGGTAGGGTGTTCTAAGATTTTTTTCTATGAAGCTTGTCTCGAATTATCCTTTATTAAAAAAATGTATAGAGGGTGGATCATAATAAATGAGTCAAAAGAGTAGTCACAGATTATTTGGACTGAAATATGGATTTGCTCATTTAAGACAGTAAGTAGAAATGATGTCAAGGGTAGGCAACTTTATACACACGCAATGTGTATATCGGGTTGTCGAAGTGGTAGGGTGTTCTAAGATTTTTTTCTATGAAGCTTGTCTCGAATTATCCTTTATTAAAAAAATGTATAGAGGGTGGATCATAATAAATGAGTCAAAAGAGTAGTCACAGATTATTTGGACTGAAATATGGGTTTGCTCATTTAAGACAGTAAGTAGAAATGATGTCCAAGGGTAGGCAACTTTATATACACGCAATGTATATATCGGGTTGTCATAGTGGTAGGGTGTTACAATTTTTTTTTTAATAAAGCTTGTCTCGAATTATCCATTATTAAAAAAAAAATAAAAAAATGTATAGAGGGTGGATCATAATAAATGAGTCAAAAGAGTAGTCACAGATTATTTGGACTGAAATATGGGTTTGCTCATTTAGGACAGTAAGTAAAAATGATGTCCAAGGGTAGGCAACTTTATATACACGCAATGTGTATATCGGGTTGTCGAAGTGGTAGGGTGTTCTAAGATTTTTTCTGTCTCAAATTATCCTTTATTTAAAAAAATGTATAGAGTGTGGATCATAATAAATGAGTCAAAAGAGTAGTCACAGATTATTTGGACTGAAATATGGGTTTGCTCATTTAGGACAGTAAGTAGAGACATACAAACCGAAAAATTTAATATTCTAACATTTTTAAACTTCGTGGTAAGATAAAGTTCTGAATGATTTAAAACTAGCCAATTTTGCAGCTAAATAGAGGGTCAGTAACATTGTTAAAATGGAAAAAACAAAATTAATAGATTGCTGGGTGATCAAAAAAGCCACAATTGTAAATTTGAAATCATTTTTACTTTCCTATCTGCATACAGATGAGGAAAGTATAGGAATCATGAGTTTTTCGACGGGTTTTTACGTTTTGGGGTCCCCTGAATCCGTTTTGACTATTTTCACGATAAGGTCTGTATGTATGTTTGTATCTTTGATAACTGATGAATAGATACAAAGAAAAACACCACATTTTAAACTTAACCTTTATTTCAGCCTGCAGTAAATTGATTAGATTTTGGACAGAGTCGGAACATCTAGAGCAGTACTTTATAGGGGGTAATTTTTATATTTTGTGAGATATTTCTATTATTTACCTTTGGAGAAGAAAATTATTTAAATAAGTTATTTTTAATAATGTTAGGCTTACTAGCGTTATCTAGTCAGCTGGAATAGAAATCTGTTATACGTGTTTTTAATGAAAATATCAAGTTTAGCGTGTTTTAAATAATTATGGGACTATCTATGTCCCGGGGGTTTGATATCAGAACCTAATCTAAGGGCTGAAGAAAACACAGTGTTCTCAAAACGAATATAATATAAATATTTAGGATAATTAACTATGTCGCAACTGGACATACACAAATATGGGCTAAAACTATAATAAATAAATAAAAAATAAAAACAAATTAATTTACCAACTCCAATTTTGGGGTACACGTCACAACTTTTGATTCAAGTCAATACCGCGATTTAAAATACAAAAAAAAGACTTAATTTTACTGGGAATCTCCTACAAGGGGGACCTCATGGAGAGGATCCGTTCCCTGTGAAAAAAGCTTCAGTAAGAGGGAACGAGAAAAATACCGCAACATAAGAGATAAAAGATATAAAGGACCGTGGTGTGATTGCTGTTCATACTGGTGATACGTGACCTTTAGCATGCGTTTGAGAAATATATTTAGCTTGTACTAAGTCTAAACTCTATTCAACTTAAACGCAAGTAACGCGTAAACATAATAACGCCTTGACAACAGCACATTGAGCTAGAGAGTAGAGAAACATCCAAAACAGGATTTCTGTGTTGGCCAATAGCAGCCGGGTTTGCGCGTATCATGCTGTGGTCAAGAGGCTATTGTGTTTACGCGTTATTTGGGTTTAAGTTGAATAGAATATAGAGCTGCATGAAATTGCTATTTGAACTTCTTGAATGTGTGGATATAGCGAGACGAGTTATTTACTGGTAAATAATGTGTTGAACTGGGGCGGTCTGCAAAATATTGTTTGGATTTAAGACCGTTTTCGGATATTTAAAAAAATTATTAATAAAGATGGATTATTATTAATATTATTATTTAAGGCGATATTAGCGAGTACACTGTGATTTTGCTAAATGGCATCAAATAATCTTAATTTACAGCAATTAATTGAAGACATTCTTCCAAAAACACCACCAAAAATGCCTAAATTGAGTTAATTGTAATAATAAGTGGCCAATTCCATTGTTGTATTTATCGACACAAATGGTGATTTCTTAAAAAGCTAATATATTCACTGTCAAATATAGAGCGTTTCTATTATGAGTGACATAATTTTTTTTTCCTGGAAACAGCTTATTTTGGACATGTCTGTTTTTGTAAAAAGGTCTTCATTTACTTTTCCGGAATCATAAGTGGATTTAAATTCAGCTTCAGATCTTAATTATTTAAATGAAAATGATATCAAATTTGTAATAGTTTTTTGAGTTGCAAAGTCGGCTAGTTTTAATTCATTCTGCCCTTTTCTTACGAAAAATTTTAAAAAATGTAAGAGTTAATGTTAAAATGTTTATCTGCTTACTAGCCTAACTTCTTGGATTAATTATAAATGTGTTTTACATATACGGTTTTTGTCTCAGAGCTTTTAATCTACAAAGGACACATTTGATAAGTTTTCCGATTGAAAAAAATGTTGTACATGAAAAGTTACTGTCTTTAAATTGCTATTGTTTAATTTAAAAGGGATTAACATCCCGATTATTTGAAAAATAGATTAGGTTTTCATCAAATTAACATAGTCGATGAGAAAAACATCAAAACCAAGTTCTAAAATGTGTTATTTACTACTGAAATACGTTAACAGCCTTTCAGTCTTTTATTTATTTTCCTTATATAACAACAATTTTCCTTGTCAGTCCAGTATAATCATAAATATGGCACACGCGTAAAAAATGGATCCTTTACCTGGTTGTTCTTATCTATCGACTGTTTTAAACTGACATTTAAGAAATTCCAAACTCGGAAAATCTTTCAAAAACGCAACTTCTCAAAAAAAATAATTTATTAGACTAAAAATCGAACTTAATTCCCTATATATCAATGAAATATTTTTTTATGTACGTGTAAAAATCAAAGACAAAACGTTGCCGAATTCGAACTAATCGCATCATAAATAAAAGCATTGTCTAGCGGTTTGTACTGATGCGTAATCAGTTTGATCACTTCGTGCGCTGCGCATCCACCCAGCACCGCGGACACCGAATGGATTTCGGCGCCACCGTATCGACAAACTTCGTGCACCCGTTCGTCTCTCAACACCTGCGAACAGCTCCATTCCGACAGAAGTTTTCCGATGATGCCTTTCAGTTTCAGTACGTCCGGTTCCACCTAAAACGAACGATATTTCTTTATTTGTCTTTATTTGTCTTTATTTGTCTTTATTTGTCTTTATTTGTCTTTATTTGTCTTTATTTGTCTTTATTTGTCTTTATTTGTCTTTATTTGTCTTTATTTGTCTTTATTTGTCTTTATTTGTCTTTATTTGTCTTTATTTGTCTTTATTTGTCTTTATTTGTCTTTATTTGTCTTTATTTGTCTTTATTTGTCTTTATTTGTCTTTATTTGTCTTTATTTGTCTTTATTTGTCTTTATTTGTCTTTATTTGTCTTTATTTGTCTTTATTTGTCTTTATTTGTCTTTATTTGTCTTTATTTATCTTTATTTGTCTTTATTTGTTTTTATTCGTCTTTGTTTGTTATTTGTTTTTATTTGTATTTGTTTTTATTCGTTTTCATTTGCTTTTATTCGTTTTATATTCGTGTTTATTGGTTTTTATTCGTTTTATATTCGTGTTTATTGGTTTTTATTCGTTTTATATTCGTGTTTATTGGTTTGTATTCTTTTTATATTCGTTTTTATTGTTTTTTATTCGTTTTTATTCGTTTTTATTCGTTTTTATTCGTTTTTATTCGTTTTTATTCGTTTTTATTCGTTTTTATTCGTTTTTATTTGTTTTTATTTGTTTTTAGTTGTTTTTATTTGTTTTTATTTGTTTTTATTTGTTTTTATTTGTTTTTATTTGTTTTTAGTTGTTTTTATTTGTTTTTATTGGTTTTTATTCGTTTTAATTCGTTTTAATTCGTTTTAATTCGTTTTTACTCGTTTTATATTCGTTATTATCTGTTTTTGTTCGTTTTCATTCGGTTTTATCGTTATTATTCGTTTTTATTCGTTTTTTATCGTTTAATATTCGTTTTATATCCGTTTTTATTCGTTTTTATTCTTATTTATTTGTTTTAAATCGTTTACATTCGTTTTTACTCGTTTTATTTTCTTTTTTATCTGTTTTTAATCTTTTTAATTCGTTTACATTCGTTTTTACTCTTTTTATATTCGTTTTATTCGTTTATATTTGCTTTTATTCGTTTATATTTGCTTTTATCCGTTTTAATTTGTTTATATTCGTTTATATTTCGTCGGCTTATTGCCAAAGTCAGATAAACAAACTTTCGAGATAAACAGTTTTAAACTAGTGAAACAGTTAAACTAGTTTAAACTAGTGACCTAAAATCAAATGTTATAAATACCCAAACTTTTTTTAAATTAGTTAGGTACTAGCTTAGTCAATTGTTCCAGATATGAGTAAATAGTTTTAAGTGATTTGGTCGATTAAAACAAAAATGAGATTTTTTTGACTTGGTCACTTTTGGCAGTAAGCCGATGATTTGTTTATGTTTATTTATATTCATTTATTTTCATTTATATTCATTTATATTCATTCATTTATATTTATTTATATTCATTTATATTCATTTATATTCATTTATATTCATTTATATTCATTTATATTCATTTATATTCATTTATATTCATTTATATTCATTTATATTCATTTATATTCATTTATATTCATTTATATTCATTTATATTCATTTATATTCATTTATATTCATATATATATTCATTTATATTCATTTATATTCATTTATATTCATTTATATTCATTTATATTCATTTATATTCATTTATATTCATTTATATTCATTTATATTCATTTATATTCATTTATATTCATTTATATTCATTTATATTCATTTATATTCATTTATATTCATTTATATTCATTTATATTCATTTATATTCATTTATATTCATTTATATTCATTTATATTCATTTATAATCATTTATATTCATTTATATTCATTTATATTCATTTATATTCATTTATATTCATTTATATTCATTTATATTCATTTATATTCATTTATATTCATTTATATTCATTTATATTCATTTATATTCATTTATATTCATTTATATTCATTTATATTCATTTATATTCATTTATATTCATTTATATTCATTTATATTCATTTATATTCATTTATATTCATTTATATTCATTTATATTCATTTATATTCATTTATATTCATTTATATTCATTTATATTCATTTATATTCATTTATATTCATTTATATTCATTTATATTCATTTATATTCATTTATATTCATTTATATTCATTTATATTCATTTATATTCATTTATATTCATTTATATTCATTTATATTCATTTATATTCATTTATATTCATTTATATTCATTTATATTCATTTATATTCATTTATATTCATTTATATTCATTTATATTCATTTATATTCATTTATATTCATTTATATTCATTTATATTCATTTATATTCATTTATATTCATTTATATTCATTTATATTCATTTATATTCATTTATATTCATTTATATTCATTTATATTCATTTATATTCATTTATATTCATTTATATTCATTTATATTCATTTATATTCATTTATATTCATTTATATTCATTTATATTCATTTATATTCGCTTCTATCTGGTTTTATTCGTTTTTATTTGTGTTCAATTATTTTGTTTTTATTTGATTAGACTATACGTACCTGATCATCGAATTGTCCTGGATAAGTGTTGAATTCGCTAATGAATCGTTCCAATCCTCTCAGTATTACGTAGTAGAACATTAAACTATCCGGATCTTCGAGATAGAACGAAAGATCTAATCTGGTTCGTTCGTATTCGTCGGCTATGCAACTGCCTCGGATAACTTGCAATTCGCTGGCGTGTTTGCAAAACATTTTGACCTAAAAAATGATAATAATAAAAATACCGTCTTGGCTATGTAACAGTTGATTTAAACCGGAAACTGTTTTTAACATGGTGAAAGTTAACAATTAAAAATACCCGAATGTGGTGACTTCTAGTGGTGACATAAATAAAATTATTAGTTAATTTAAAATTTTAAGTCTACACCAAAGTTCAAGTCTTTGCTAATCTAGAGTGGTAAAAAATCCCTATGAAAATCAATAATAATCACTAAAATTCCTTAAGTTGGCATCACTAGATATAATAATATTTCGTTTGAAAAAGTCATCATATAATTTTTCTGGTAATACTGTTGAGCAACAGTTAGGACTAACCAAAAATCAGCAATTGCCATTTAGAGGACTCAACAAGTCACCATACTCAACTGTTGCGTTGGCTGAACGCGCCCATTAAATATTCGTGATATTAAATACATTTTTGTCCATCTAGATTTGCAAAGTCCTACTTAAACAATATTGTCTATGTAGATTTGCAAATTGATAAACAATTTTCGTCCTCCTACAATTTGTTATAAAAATGAAATATAATGTATGAAAAAAAAGAAGTAAATAATTGCTAATATTCTACCTCATTTTGGGTAATAGTGTCCATCGGCAACCCCAAATCTCTGGCGATATCCGAAGCTTTCCTATAAATAATCTCCGCCTGAAGTTCGGCCTGCCTATGATACAACTGCTGCAACGTTATATAACTCGTCGTATCCGCGGCCATGTCCGGTAAACTGCCTTTAATCGGTAATGTTTCTTCGCATTCTACAAATTCCCGAAGAGCCGCGCACATGATCCAAAACGGCGGGCTGTTTTGGGTCAAATTTTTGCAACAATCGTCGTCCAATATCGCCTAAAAGTAGAAAAATATAAAAAAATAAAATGCAGATTATTCCTATGTAATATATTTTAGATATATAACTCTTCTTCTCTTAAGTTATACTTTTAAAGTATGAAGTATAATTGTTGAGTAGAATTTTTATTTGTTACACAGAAAAAATAAGATATTTTAGAATCTTTAGGACAATAATTATTAAACAAATACTAAATCTCTACTGAAGTGTCTACCTAGGAAAAAAAACATTTTCAGGGTAGGTTTTTGCACATACCTGCACATTATGAGGTATGCTAGGTGGAGCCAGACAGGTATTCGTGTAACGGATGGCTTCTTCAAAATTTTCTTCTAAAAGTTTGATACTACCTTCGTCGGCTACCGGACTATCCCTAATCATTTTTCTAAGAATATCTTTTTCTTGCCTAGTTTTCGGAACTAAACCTGAAAATTCGAATCCGATTATTAGTCTAGTCAACAAGTGCTTTTCGGATCAAACTTTTTTCTCCGCCTCCGAAAAATATAAAAGCCGGTATCATTCGATTTGGAGTAGCGGGTAGATGATTTTTGAAAAAATTAAAGAGTCGTTTGCAAAAATTGCAAAAGTTATAAACAACTGAAAAAAAAAAAATAGGGTTTGGTTTTATGCAAATATCTCAAAAACTAATGTCATTTTCCAAATTTGAAAAAAGATTCAAAAAGAGAAGGAAATTTCCCACCTTCCGGAACTATAGGATCAATATTTTTTGAGTTTCCCATTGTACATGCCAATTTTGTTCAAGTATCCCTTTACTGGGGCGTGCTCAGTCATGAACCCTGTTATCACTTTCAACTGGTTCCTATTCGCAAAGAGTAGTTCTTCAGTTCATTTGGGACATGGTCTGCCTATGAAGGCTTTTCCATGTGCCTGTTTTGGGGTGCTTCCCCAATAGTTGAAATATTGTTCCCGAATCCAGTCGTTTATGAAACCCCGGACTGTACTTTTTGGTACTCCTGGGTTTGTGTCTGGTTCCGGTGTTTCTTCTGACCCTCTTTTTGCAAGTTCGTCAGCTTTTTCGTTGATTTCGACCCCTTAGTGACCTGGCACCCAAAATAGTTTTACTCTATTTTGGTCTGCCAGTGTTCTTAGTTCTTTGATGCATTCCCATATCAGCCTAGACGTAACTTTCTGACTCGATATGGCCTTAAGTGCCGCTTGGCTGTCTGATATTATTTGAATATGCTGATTTTCGACAGCTCTTTCATTGTTCGTTTTTGCACATTGCAAAATTGCGTATACGTCAGCCTGAAATTCCTATAGCATAGCTATGGTTAGTATCGGGGTTTTTGGAGAATACTCCCGCCCCAGTGCCTTCCGCAGTCTTAGACCCGTCTATATACCAGGTTTGTTCCTGTCGTTGGGCATTGGGCTCCCTTATGGTGATATCCAGTCTTTCCTGTTTTAAAACCTCAAATAGAGTATTAAAAGAGTACCTTTTGGTTATGTGGTCTCATCTCATGTCTAGCACGTCTCCTGTCACTAACTTTGAGATACTCATGTGACCTGGCCTAATGTAAAGATTTCCCAGTGTATTCCCTAATCTGTAAGCACCTCTTAGGTTTAGAGGCCCTAGTCCCTCCAATTTCCTCCTGCGGGTGAATGTAATTATGCCAGATATGTTTGGGTTAATGTTTAGTCCTTCCGCCTCTGTCCATTATGTTACTATATTTAGAGCCCCTTGCATTCGATCTCTTACTATAGTATTGTATTTTCCCTGTGCCATGATCACTAGATCTTCGGCATATCCCAGGGTTCTATGTCCCTTATCTTTAAGAGCCCTAAGACAGCACTCCACCCTGCGGACATCCTCTCGCTACCCATGCCGCTATTGTCTCTCCCATAAGCAGTGATGCCAACCCATCAAAAAATTTCCCCCAAGCCCAGTTTAAAATCCCCCTAAATTACCCCTAAAACGTGATGAAATTTTTAACAGCTCTTAAGGATTTACACAGTACCAATATGCTTTATTTTCAATAATCATTTTTTGATTAAATAGTATAGTAGCATAGAATTTTAATCAAAATTATTCGGAAGTCAGGGCATTGGGTAAATTGTCCGGTTAGATACGGCCCAAAAAGATAGAAGAAAACTTAAATAAATGTTCTACCAGTTACACAATAAGTTTATTGACTAAACAAGATGCAAAGAAATTCGGAAAATCATTAATCAACAAATGACACTAGCGATCAAATCATAGAGTGCGACATTCTTCTTTTCGTGGAGTAGTTATATTGACTAAAAATTTTAAAAAAATATCTCCTAAAACTTACCCTAAAAAAATTTACCCCCTAAAAAATTCTCTTTTTTAAATTCTTCCCCCTAAATTTAGTGGGAAAACCCCCCAAGTTCGCATCACTGCCCATAAGGGTGGTGTGTATAGTTATCTCCCTTAACATAGAGTCGATCCAGGACACGCACGTGTCCTCGATTCCTCTGTTTGAGAGATCTAGTGATCGATTCATCGGAGGTATTGTCAAATGCACCCTCGATATCCAATAATACTTCCAGCATTACCTCCTTGTTTTCCAGTGTGTTCTTCACCCCTTTTATTAATTGATGGAGAGCTGTTTCAGTTGATTTCCCTGCACTGTAGGCGTATTGGTCTTAGTATATTGGCCTCTGGACCAATATCCCGTCTCTAATATCTAGCAGTTTTTCCAAAGTTTAAGTACAAAGGACATAAGACTTACTGGGACTTTGCCGTTTTCTGTCCTATTTTCCCAGGTTTTGGAATAAAAGTTACACTAATATTTCTCCAAGCTTTTGGTATGTGTCCAAAGGCCAGGCTACTTCTGCTGTATAAAATATCTGGACCTCTTTGCAACATTATTGGATAAATCCCGTCCATGCCCGGTGATTTATATGATTTGAATGAGGTAATTGCCCATTTCAGTTTACCATAGTTCACCACTTGTTTGGCTATCCTCCAATGCTTTTGATCGTTAATAAAAAAGTGAAAAATTAAAATTTTTAAATTTTTCCAACGGGGATCTCTTCTAAACCCTTTTAACAATAGCTCAAAAAAATCAAAAAAAATTCTAGATTTCTTGTTTTGAAATAATCAGCGTTTTTATGTTAACATTAAAATGGTGAAAATTAACTAATTAACGAAAGCATAATTAATAAAAAAATAGTGATAAAAATTTTTTGTTTACGATTATTGTTTATTCATATGTCTACTTAGTACCCAAATTTTTTTATTCCTTAATATTAATATTTAATCAGTTAAAATAATTTTTTTAGTTCATGTGTCAGATTGGGGCGATGCGCGCGGCAGCCGAACCACGCGTTTTTACTGTTATTTTCACCGCTTAATTAAAATTATAAGGGTTGTTGGTACAGTTCCGGGAGGTAGGACTTTTTTTTAGGAAATTTCCTGCTCTTTAAGGATCTTTTTTCAAATTTAGATTATCTCAAATAGTTTTTGAAATATTTCAAAAAAACCAATCCCTTATTTTTTATTTTACTTTATTGTTTATACCTTTTGCATTTTTTTTCAGCCCCTCTTGGAATTTTGATAGAATGTTCTAGATGCCATTCCGAATCGAATGAGCCCAAAATCATAATTTTAGGTGCTGGAGGACAGGTTTCGAGGGAAATGACACTTGTGAACCAGACTATTTAGTGAACTTCTACCACCCCGATGGTAAGTTTCAGGGCGTAACAGATAGGGATAAGCTAACTTGTACGCAATTTAAAAAGTTATATACACGCGAAACGTCTTGACAGAGTAGGTGAGCTGTGTCCAGGCCGTTAGTGTTTATGCCGATCGGCGCAGCTAGGTATGACGTTTCGCGTGTATATAATTTTTTGATTTGTATACACTTTGGCATGTACCTAGCAACAGCGAAAACATTAAAACTATAATATGATGTACTTTCAAATGATATTCATTTATTTAAATAAATAAGACAAGTAAACAAAAAAAATCAAATTATTTTTAATGAGCCGAAGAAAAAATATAGTCTACAATTTGCGCATCAGTTTAACTTCGGCACTGGTAAAATAAAGTTTGTTTACATAGTTCATAATGTGCGATCGCCTGTGGATTAAATTTGTTTTAAAGTACATATTCCAAAAATCTTACCTCCATTAAGCTCTTTATATTTCGTTAAATAATAAAACAAAATGACCAAAGCTGGAACATGGCTGCGGGACTTTTGGTCTAACAAAGCGACATCTATACTTTCGAGGTGTTCCCTTAGAGATCTCCACGGCGACAGCAGGCGTAGATCTGGATTTTCGCTATCCGGATGCGCCTCAATTACCGTGTGCTCTTTGACTTGTAATCTTATGTAACCTAAAAATCCTATACTACGGCATACAACGAAAGGGACGTTCGATTCCCACAGGTATTTGGACAGGGGAATGAGAACTCTAAAACAGAAAAAAAGAGATCTTTTATGCAAGGATAATAATCGATTCGTTATGACTTTTTGACTGACCCTGTATACTTAATGTTTTTAATATATTTTAAAAAAACCCAAAACTTTAGCATATAATCAACAGTTTCCACAGATATCCATTTGATAAAATTTGGTTACAGTGAATTTAAAAGAGATTTTTAAAAAACGCTCTGTATAGATAATACATAATTTCTGTGTCACTGAAGCAAAACTTATAGCAAAATAACACATATCAGCAAAAACAGCATGTTTCTACAATTGTTTAAAAGTTATAAGCTCTGGAAATGAGCTTGTTTATTGGGACACCCTGTATTATATTTACATAATATGTAATAAGCATGAATAATCACCGAAGCTGTATAGGACGAGGCCAATAGCTTGCAGATAATATGTTAGCAACAACAGTACCAAACACAATTAAAAAAATATGAAAAATCAATATAAAACGAATATTTATATATTTTTTGGATATTTCATCTTATCAAAATGATTTTTTCTTAAATCCTTTTCACAGAAGTAATAAGTAATTATGGCTTATTTAGTTATCTAACAAGAATGCAAAGGGCATATTATTTTCAATAAATAACTTCAGAAAGGCTGCAAGAAATGATAATCATTTTTATTGATATTTTATAATTTCAAAAATTATCTAATACTTGTCATTTGACTGACTTGAGTTTTTAAAATTATGTAAAGTTACAAATTTATGTACGTTATCTTTTAAATGCTTTTTGTATATTCTTTATTGTAATGAGGATTTAAAATGTTTAAATTATCGCCCTTTATCACAAATCACATGTATAAGTAACCGTATTTCAGATTAAAAAATCTGATGTGTCCAACACATGACTTTCCTATCTAATTATTATAGGTTATTTTGTACAACCTATTGCAGCACCTCGAAATTTACACATTTTTTCAAATATCTCGAATACGGTCCATTTTAGAGAAATTATGTATAAGATAAAAATTATAGAGAATTATATTACAAACAACTTTTATTTAAACAGTTTTAATAAAAAAATATTTTTTTTACATTTTGTCAAATTTCTCGAATAATGAACCATTTTAGGAAAATTTTGTATAGAACAAAAATTATAGATAATAATATAAGGAGTAACTTTTATTTGAAGAATTTTCGTCTCCAAATGTAAATAACAGATATATTCCATAAAATATAAAAATGACCACCTATAAACACACAGACATCATCGCGAAAATAGTCAAAACGCATTCAGGGGACCTCAAAACGTAAAAATCCGTCGAAAACAATCATGATTCCTATACTTTCCTTATATCTGTATACAGATAGGAAAGTAAATAAGTCTGTGGCTGCGTGACAAATTTTGTATATTTTAGTGGAAAACGAAATTATTTAAATTTGGATTTGGTACCAAAATGCAGCTCAGACAATCATCTATCTAAATAATGTATAGTTTTGTATTTAAAAGTGATTTGTGCCTCAAAACTCATAATCTCATAAACGTTTTATTGTTTTCAACCAAAACAAGTTTTTATTGTTGGTGAGTAAAAACAAAAATGATTACCAGCTTTTTCTTTGTACAAAAGCAGTGGCGTTCACATTTTAAATGCTGCAACACAAAAGAATTTAAAAATCTTATTTGTGCTGTATGTTTGAATGTTTTTCAACAAAGCTGCTTGGAGAGACATTAAATATTCCGTAAAACAGGGTAATTTATATGATTTATTTCTCCTCCTAATGTCAGAATATCAAATTAGACTGGGAAAGAAAAAAAAATAATTTTAAAAATAAAATTGCTAATCTTAAGGCTGCTGTTGAAGAAAGAGATACAGTAGAGGATGCACAATCATCATTAGTTAAACAACTTGATAATCAAAATAAATTAATTGAAACTTTAAAAGCAGATATAAGGAATTTAAAAAATCAATGAAGAATACACTAATAAAAACAATGTAGAGGAAAACACAATATTGAAATTGAACAAAGACAATTAAGAACTTGGTGACTAAAAATATGATAACCACTATTAGTATCTTAGAAAAACAACATGAAGCCTACGAAAAAGATCAGAAGATAATTACAAAGCAGAAGGAAGATGAAATGTTTATTCTGAATACGATAATATCTGAAATACTAAAAGAAAGGGAAACCTAAAAAAAAAATTTACTATGAATAAACTGCAAGATATACAATTAGAAAGTGATAAGATGAAAGAACAAATTAAGATCCTTGAGGAATAGAATGAACTATATGTAATGCAGTAGAGGCTGTTGTACTAGCAGTAGCAACTGAACTGCAGACTAGAGGTTCCTGAATTCTGCATGATCTTAAACTGAAACCAAAATACTCCAGTAAAACTGTTGTCATGCTGTTTTTCTCTAAGACAAAGATACTTGAGGACATTACTGTTTGAATTGAAGCTAATTATATACTTCTATCTGATATAACCAAATTTCTAGGAGCATGTTGTTCAATAAATCTTTTGTCATTGTATCATAAGTTAATACTTAATTGTGTTTGTAAAAATAAAATGTACAAAAATAATACAAAGTTATTTCATTTATTTAATAAAAAGTATATGAGAAAAATATTTACATAAAATATAATTAAAAATGCTTTGCTTGCACCATAAAAAAAAACAATTACTAAAAACATAATTAAAAGTTTAAAAATTACAAAAATTGCATCAGGCCTTTGATTTCTTCTTCAAACTCTGCAAATATGCACCGAGGTACTCCTGCACTGCTGGTTGTGTACCATATGTAACAAAATTTTTCAAATCTTCCTCCCTATTTTTAACCATATTTTCAATAGTCTCTTTTCTGATGTACTTCTTAGTCATTGCTCTAGCCATGGGTGGAATCCTTTCAAATCGTTTCAAAAAAGCTGCAGCTCGAGCTACTCCTTCTTCATTATTTTCTACAACTTCATCAATCATACCGATGCTTAAAGCTTCCTCAGTCTTGAACATACGTCCTTGAGTAAGGGCACTTTCAGTTTGTCTCTGACCAATTACATTCCTCATTGAAGATATGAACCATTGGGGAGCAACAATTCCGAGTTGAGTTTCGTTCAGTCCAATAGTGCAGTTTTTAAACATCACTCTGTATTCACAGGACAATGCTAATAGACAACCACCAGCTGGAGCGTGACCGTTAATTAGAGCTACTGATGGAAAAGAGCAACTGTATAGTTTAATCCAAGTATCTTGCAATGTGGTCCAGAATTTCTTCATCCTTTCAACATCAGGCTTGTACATTTCCATAATATCTAAACCAGCAGAAAAAATACCTTCATTTTTGGAAGTGAGTATCAATCCGCGAGTTTTGTTTTTTTCCAAATCCGTTAAAGTGGAAGATATTTCAGATAAAATCTCCAAATTAAGGCTATTTACAGGCGGCCTTTGCAGATTTAAAGTGGCTACTCCGGTTTTATCATTCACTGCAACGGATACCAAATTCGCCTCTTTGCTGAACTGTCTGATGCCGAATTTGTGGATTTTTAGTTTACTCAAATTTCGTAAAGCCATATTAATTGTTTCAATGGAAAATACGGACGGGTTACACACTTTGAACCAAATTTAATTGAAGTTTTAAAGTCCAACAAAAAATATACAACATAAACATAACCTCAGTTTCCTAAGCCTAATATATGTCACACACATAAGTCACAATGATATATGGTTATATAGATTGCTCATTCATATTTAAGGAAAACGAAAAGCGGGTCGCATTCGCTGAAACTATATAGGCATAGATTACTAATTATATAGGGGTCTATTCTGTAACAATTTCTTTATATTTTAACGGCCGTTAAAATATTGGCGGCCTTTAAAAATGTTTTCGTATTCACTAACTTACTTATGTCATTATTTAAACGGATTCCTTTAATCATTTTTAAAGGCCTTTAATTTTTAACAGTTTTGAATTGAAAATTGAGGATTTGTATGGTTGTGTTTTCAAATTAGTTCAAATAAATCTTAAATGCGATGTTGTCAAGTGTTCTCCTGCTATTTTTAAGAGAATCCGTTAAAATAAATAATTTTTAACAGGCCTCTAAAATTTTTGTATACAGAATACCATTTTTGGGCCGTTAAAAGTTTAATTTTTAAAGGCCTCTAAATTTTAACGGATGTGTTACAGAATAGACTTCATATTAAAGTGAAAAAACAAAGCCGATCAACAAAATAGAGCCACATACCGAGGTGATATTAGACAGGCTGGCGCCCACTAAAAGGTAACACCAAAATTAAATTTAACACTTATTACATTCAACTACAACACGTTTTAAGTTAAGAAAATCACTTAAAAATGATCTTTGATATCAATACCCAGCTAAAAAATATATTTCAACAACAATAATAATTAAAATACCACGATCAGAGATTACGCACATAAAGATAGGAATCGCAACGACCGCAGCAACGATGGCGTCATCTATGCGTCTCAGATGTTAACTAAAGGTACACGTCGTTTGTAGACAAAAAGCATACGTGGACAGTTTATAAAAATAAATGTCAATTAGTTGTATGTATATCGTAGAATCCTGAATTTGAATTTTAAATTTTAAGTTCATGATTGTATAATCCTCTAGATGAACTAAGCGAAATAATTGTGGCTGTTTTTATGGGAAATTTGAGGACAATAAATATATTTTGTACAGTGTCTAGGTCCACGCTAACTTGTTCGCAATTCAAAAAGTTATATACACGCGAAACGTCTTGACAAAGTAGGTGAGCTGTGTCTAGACCGTTGGTGTTGGCGTAGCTAGGTATGGATTAAAATTTTCTGGTGGCGGCTTCGCCGCCACCCTACGAGAAGTCGTTGCTTCGTTTTCTTTTTGTCACGGCATTATTATTATTAGTTCATGTATGTGAAATTTGCTTCTAAGTCTTCAAAACGTTAGAAAGAAGATTTAAATAAGACGCCATTAGCCATTCGTTTGGAAAATAAGAACAAAAATGTTAATATTACAAATAACGATCAAAAATTAAAAAATATTTGTCATGAATAGATTTACAACAATCAATCGATAAGAAACTGTAAGTGTAGTATTCTTTTTAATGAATAATTTAGCGTAATTACATTGTTTAAATTTATTTACCAGAACGTGAGAGTGCAGTCGATATTTATTATGTTTTTAAATTTCCCGCTGCGTTGTTTGATATCGATGAAAGCGCCACATAGAGAGTCAGATGTTAACTATGTTAAAGGTGGTCGTTGTTAAGCACTGGCTTCTTATGAGCATTTCCTATCTTCATCTCCTTTATCTCTGACCACGATATTAATAAGAAATCATGTAACTTATCGCAGTACGCCCCAATGAAATGGTGTGGGGTCGAATGCTTGTCAATAGGCTTGAGATGCGACTCTATGGACGAAGACAGGTTATTTTTCATCTCACTCGGGAGTATTTATAATAAGCATTTTCTATTTCATATTGTTATTGTCTGATCCACCAGCTTGTGGATTAAACAATAACAAAGTGAAACAGAAAATGGTTATTATAAATAGTTCCGAGTGAGATGAGCAATAAAAATGGCTGCGCCCATAGAGTCGCATCTTGTTCTATTGATACTATACATTGGTTTTCTACCCCTCTCCACTTCATTAGTACGCCCATGGATAACGTGACGTAGACTATAGATTAGGTTAGTGCGTAGACAGTCTGGCGTCTAAATTGTCATGCGCACCAACCATTTTTTCACTCATATCGGCTTAAATATTAGAAGTGGGCCTTATAACATCCATCCAATTAAATGCACTAGTTCAGTGTGATGTCATTTTGGTTACACTGACATTTAATTCTAACCAAACTTTTAAGAAAAACATCAATAAACTTGACATATACGTTTCTACTGTTTTTAGTTTATTTCTAAAAATTGTTTACAGGTCATAAAAAATAGTTTAAAGGTATGTAATTTGTAACTAAACGATTGTATATTTGATGCATGTTATCTACTTACTTTAGGAATATATCTATAAAAGTGAAAAAACGATATAATTTAGGTAAACAAAACGCACTTAAAATTCTACTGTCACTTTCAGTGTTGCCGTTGCTATTACACTTGTAACAAATCTATTACTAAAAAAGTACATTAGTACGTTATTACGACTTTTAAGAAAAAACAAATAATCTATTACTTTTTAAAATATCACAATTTTATGAGTGCCCCATCTAAGCTTCAGAGGCCATATTTAAAAAATTTAGAAATCTATACATTTGTTATGCCTGTGTTTTCCAAAATAAGCATCCTTTGTTATATAATATTTTTTTGTTATGACTCAGGTTTTAGTTTAGTAGGGGATTACCACCAGCCTCCAGCATTTCAGCATAATTTATATCTTGTATTCACAGACCATACCCTTTACTTGTATTTAATAACTTAGAAGCCCTCAATTTATATTTAAAGTACGACTATAGCTATTTATACATGTAATATCTTCTCATTTAATAAATAAATAATATTAAAACCAAATTAAGAAATCGTCTAAATGTGGAAAGATGCAATTCATTAATTTTAACTTTTAACTAAGCAGTTATTGAATGAAAATAACTGTTGTAATTTTGAGCTGAATGATGCTTTGTTAAATTATAATGTAAATAAAAATGATAATGATAATTTACAATGTGCAGAAGATTTAACATTTTAAATATTTATTTACACACATGATATATATTTACCTGTGTTTACATTATACTTCCTTTCTTATTTTTGTTTGAAATAAATGTTTATTTTTACAATCACGGTTTTTCTTCATGTATTATGTCAAGTCGGTACGACCTCCGAGCTCCCGAGTCATTTCAAAGATTCGAGATTCGATACTTTTCATATATTATGCTGACCTTGAGATTCTTACGATTGGCTGCGTTCATCCGCGCCATTTCAAGGAGCGCTACAAAAGTAGCGATCACTTACGCTACCTGATCGATCTTTATGCACGGATGAACCATGTTTAAAAGTGACATTTGATTTTGGTTTATTCATTTTACTTTTGAGTTGAATGTCTCTGGTTGAAGATTTGTTTATTTTTCAATTGCTAATATGCTAATATAACCCTACTAGTCACCAAGCAAACCGTGGACGTAAGTGCGTAAGACAGATCAGTGATCACCGATCAGACGTAAATAAAATGCGCTACTTTTAATGGCGGCCGCTCCTTGAGCGAAATGTCAAAATACACCGTTCATACGTGCCACTCGAGAGCGCTACCAGATCGATCAGGTAGCATGTGGCGCGGATGAACGCAGCCATTGGCGCTCTAGCGCTGGTTGGAATTTCGTTGTAATTCCCCGAATTACAGAGGGTCGATTTTCAGCATGAGGTAAGGTTTAATGTTTCTGTTAATGCATTTATTTCTGTTCATTTATATTATTTGTGTTTGGAGATTAGCTAGGTACTTAGTTTTTTGTGATTTTTCTATTAAAATGTCTTCGTCGTCCTCCAGCAGTGAAAATGAGAAACGTTCGATAAGTAAAAGACTTAGATTAAGTAATAAAATAGTTGCAAAACATAGAGCACAGAAATAACGTAAAGCATGTGAGTGTATGGTAGTGATGTAAGAATACGTATCCAAAAATCCGTTGAATCCGAATATTAAAAGGATCCGGATATTCCGGAATCAATAGTGTAAATTCGAATACGAATTCGGTATCAAAAAGAACAGAAACAAAATCGTAATACACGAATCGAATGCTGCAAGTTCTGTTATGACAGAGCCGATTCGGGTTTTGCGGGTGGCAGCTGATACGAACTATGGATACGAAATCAGAATTCGGAATCGTCTAGCGTTGTTGCAATTCATAATCGGTTAGTCGGCATGCACTGCATATTTTAAAGGTAACATGAAGTTATATAAATATAAATGAGAAAATTTGTTTCTGATATGATAAAAAACAAAATATTTGAGATTTATCTTGTGTTTATTATTCTAAAACATTAAAAACTCCTGTTACTTCACTCTCAAACATAAATTCTGCCAGGGTTGACAACACTGCCCGATTCCGATTCCCAAGGTCGCGGTGTATTTACGGTTGCGTATTATGATTTCACACATATGGATACGTATCCGGATGATGAATCCGAATATCTCTTGGTTCCGAATACGTATTATCCGAATACTAAAAAGATACGGATATTCACAACACTAGTGTATGGCAGATTTTAACGACTGGTTGGTTAAAGCTACAGGTAGAGGTTTTTTGATTGTAATTCAAAGACTACGAAAAGAAATATGGTGAAATATGATCATCCTAGTTTTGTACGATATCATGAAAAAAAAAAACGATAATTTCTACAACATTGTACAATAATTCGGTTTTGGTCATCTGGCAACGCTGGTGGAACCATAATTACATCATCACTGAACTAGCGTATATGAAGTGCTCACTGATCAGAATCGGTTTAGCCCAAATGTGTTTTAAAAATCGACTTTCATCCTTTGAATATAGTAAAAAAAATAATGAAACTTCGGTGGTGTAGGTCTATTCTTAAAGTCAAGAAATTAACAATTTCGGACAAAAAATTAATGAATTTAAAGACATGACAATTTTAATTTTTGTTAGATATTTTGAATCTCCCTGTAGCTATCAAAGGTTTCGCTTGGCACCATTTAAATACCAAATAGTCGCTCATCTTACTGCAAAAGGAGACATGTCATGTTTTTTGCTTGCAGCAACCCATAGACTGGTAACGAAGTGTTTACAGACCAATGTTTATATGAATTTTTAGTCATGAAACAAGTCAAAGAATTACCCCCTTTTATATGTACATGATGTTTATTACAGGAATATTACTTAAAAAGAATGTCACAGCAAAAATCATATTATTGTTTATCTTCAAAAGAACCCCAAATCCCAAACAAAATTCTTCAACACCAATCAGAGCATTGATGATTGTCACCTAATATACTTTATAATAAAATTATACTACATAAGTATTTATATATTATTCATATATAGGAACTGCTGTTTGAAAAATCAACAGTAGTTTATTATAATAGTATTTAATTCATTGGAATCACTTAAAAAGACCCACTCTAAATATATTTTAATGTAAAAACTCGGATTATGGACATTCTTTCTCTATATCAAATAGATAGAACTGGCAGAACAAAAAACATCCTCAATGATGGCATCAAATCTGCTTTACTGGTTGCCTATGTTAATTCGCATAAAGTAAAATAATATTTAGTGCAAAATTCACATAAAATGAAACAGAAAAATGTCATACAATTATTAAAATCTTCACAAAAATATCTAGTATCTAGGGACATTTTAGGAAGATCAAATCAACCAAAATTAATGAATTGTTTAACAAAATGTGGACTTTATTGTTTTAGATTATTTATGTACACCTAGATAGTCCTCTGATATAAGCTTTTTACTCCAGTTTCATTTAATAATCACTTAGGAAAATCTATCTTTATATATTTTTTGTTATTAGCTACATTACTCAATATGTCGAGGACCAATTACAAAGATAGTAAGGTAACAGTACAAGAAAAACATTCTAAATTTATATTAACAAAACTACAAAGTTCCCAAAGCACATTTTTAAAGAAACAACAGTGAATATCAGTATACTATAAAACTAACAAGCATGTATATAATTATTTTTTGATGGTCTATAAATTGATGTGTATAAAGTAACCCAAACCCTAATGTTAGGGATTTATATTTGCATAAAAAGATTTTTTGTGTCTTTTACCACATATTATGGTGTAATCTAACTTATACTGAATATTTCTAAAGGATTAATAAATATACATGGCAGGAACAGTTTTAATTTAGAAGACAAAGGTCTACATATAATAATATCATTAAGTTTTATAAAATGTTTGCTATTAACCATCGAGTTTAGGTTAACTAGATTATATTAAGCATTTTGAAATTCACTTTTAATATCCAATATTTAAAGACTATTGTACTTACTTCTCTGGTAGAGCTGTTGCGATTACAACAGTAAATTTATTAAAAAAATCTTGAGTGTGTGACATAACATGTTCAGGAGATTCATCAATGTAATCACCCCTTACATCAGGGTTATGTTCTAGTAAACACTGAGTGGCTACTTGCGCTCGAGAGAGGCCAATACTATCACTTTCTAAGAAAAAACTGAAATAAAATAAGATATAGCTAGTGTATCTTAAATGTAATTGAAAATGGTATACTTGGAGCCTATGTCTTCTTCAGTGACTTTCTCTCCATCAACGATGGTAAATGAACCTATTCCGGGTAAAATAAGACTTTTTAAAATTTCTGTTCCTAAGGCTGTGGCGTTTATAAGACATACTTTTGAATTCTCTAAAAGGTTTTGTCCATGATCACCCCATAACCTGGAAATGAAGATAGACTTAAATATAAAACGATTTTTTACAGTTAAAAGTGTTACCTTAATTGTCTGTCGTATTTTTTACTTTTATCTGTTTGTTCCGGCGATTTTGGAGCTGGAGAAGACATTTGAAAATTTTTCAAAAGATTTGTTTTCAAATAATTGAAATAAAAACATTTGACAAGTGACAAGTGGCAGTGACATTATTGACAAGACCGGTGTCGTAATAGTTTGAAATGTGGTACAGTTATATAGATTGCTTAACTGTAAACATGAAGGTTATTCTAGCTTGTTTTTAGGATTGCCCGTAGGTAAATAAAATTTAAAATGTCGTGACCCACATACAGATCACACTGCGCGTTGCGAGTGATTATAATTGCCGCTATTGAATATTCACATTCGATCCGACCCGTAACATCTGATGCATTTTTTACATCTCGAGCGTTTGTTTAACCACATCTACTACATCTATCTGCGTTTGTTTATCTGAGATGTAGCTGTCCAGATTACATTTTTTACATCTCGATTTGAAATGAGATGTTCGTTCCATGCCAGAAAGTAGTTGTTCTGTGAAGCCAAGTTTATCGATTTTGGTTATGCTATCGTAGGCGAGTTCGGTCAGTCAGGGGCTGGAGCGGGACAAATTTTAGGGTGCTTTTAAATGACATTTAAGCGTGTTAAACTGTCACTAATCGGACTAAACCGAACGCTAAAAGAGTCGTTTGGAGTTAAAAGTGTTAGAGGAGTTAAAGGAACGTGGCAAACCGAACGCATTGCATGAATATAAAAAGTGATTAGTTTGTTTAATTTTTATTACGATTGCAAATTTAGGTTGATTTCTATTCTCAAAACTCACATTTAAAAAGTATGAACTTCTAACTTGCCATTGTCATTTTATCACGTGACCAATAAAGTCTAGAGCGTTTGTTTATTACATCTATCTTAGAACAATACATTTAAATCTAATCTTCTAATCACGTGATAAAAATTCACAGCATCTCAGGTGCATCCGATGTGATTATTCAAATGCAGCAATTGTCTTGCAAGTACCTAATGTGTTCTGTGTACGTAATGCTCACTTATCAGAATCAGTTTTGTCCAATAACCCTTCGTTACTCGCATATGGGCCTAACAGCCCCAGTAGGTGGCACTTAATTAAAGTCATTAATAGTTCTGCAAGACTCTGCCTCACACTTAATTATTTGTAACCTATATAATTGTATTATTAGATGTCTCTTTAAAGGCATTTCTTTATAAGCTTACCAGAACATAGCATTTCTTTATAACGTTTGGTTACATGTTACCAAAGCATGTGTAGCTACATCTAACGAGGCATTTATTTATAAGCTACCAAAACATACTACAATAAAAAGTAACAAAATCAAAACATAAGTTTAATATACTACTTCCACTTGCATTAAAATTATTAAGAGACGAATGACATTAAATTTAAAACATTTATTTACAATGTATACCAAAAAAATTTCAATAATTATTTAATTCAAATTATTTTAGGTATAATTTAAGTCAATTTCCATCACGGTCATTAAGATGGAATCTAAAGTTTCCTCTCCCGTTAGTATTATTTGATCTGCTGGTAGCAGGAATCCAAACCTTCCCAAATCTCTTAGTTGGTAGTCATAAGTGAATGGTACATGGTAGTTTGCTTTCAGCCAGCCCATATTGGAACCAGTAGTGATGGCAGCTAAAACAAAAGACAACAGCTATATTCATAATAACGAATATGTTTTTTTTTCTCTCTCCTGGACTCGTCTGACTATGTGTCTCCGAATAACACTGAAGCCTACTGGCTTATTGTGTTTTACCCCATGTTAGTTCATAGCACCCACTCTATCACCTTTGTACCTTGTACAAGTTTGTACAGATCCTTGGGTGAGTGGGTTCTATACGTTGTTGGATCAACCTGGGGTTGTCCAAAAAGAGCCTGTCTTTTGCGATCTAGAGCTTCGCATTCGCACAGTATGTGTTTGGCCGTTTCTGGTTTCTTGTGACATAGTCGGCACATGAGTTCCCCATGGTACATGCCAATTTTGTTCAAGTGTCCCTTTACTGGGGCGTGCCTAGTCATGAACCCTGTTATCACTTTCAACTGGTTTCTATTCATTAAGAGTAGTTCTCCAGTTCTTTTGGGACATGGTCTGCCTATGAAGGCTTTTCCATGTGCCTGTTTTGGGGTGCTTCCCCAATAGTTGATATGTTGTTCCCGAATCCAGTCATTTATAAAACCCCGGACTGTACTTTTTGGTACTCCTGGGTTTGTGTCTGGTTCCGGTGTTTCTTCTGACCCTCTTTTTGCAAGTTCGTCAGCCTTTTCGTTGCCTTCGATCCCTTTGTGACCTGGCACCCAAAATAGTTTTACTCTATTTCGGTCTGCCAGTGTTCTTAGTTCTTCGATGCATTCCCATACCAGCCTCGACGTAACTTTCTGACTCGATATGGCCTTAAGTGTCGCTTGGCTGTCTGACATTATTTGAATATGCTGATTTTCGACAGCTCTTTCATTGTTCGTTTTTGCACATTGCAAAATTGCGAATACCTCGGCCTGAAATACCGAGGAATGTATTCCTATAGCATAGCTATGGTTAGTATCAGGGTTTTTGGAGAATACTCCTGCCCCAGTGCCTTCCGCAGTCAACGAATATGTTAAAAATTAACATATTAACATATTTTTTAACGAATATGTTAAAAATACATCTTTGGCCACCTTTGTTTATAAAAATACCATTTAAATTAATAGTTATACGACTAAACTGAAAATATTAAAAATTCAGGTCAACCTAGTTTAACCTAAATATAAATAGCTTAACTTACATATCATATAAAAAGAATAAAACATTTTAGGTAATGTATAATAATTTAGATGAAAATAGTTAAATTAATGAATAAGACGAATTTAGGACATCCAGACATATTTAATCTAAAAATTGTCTGTCCTATATAATCATTTAATTTTTTTATTACCCCTTCGATACGGTACCGCACTGTTATGTGTACTGTTTGTTATACGATTTTCTCTTTCTTCCCGTCCTACATCTGTCAATGGGAAGGGTTGATATATCTATAGGGTTGTGACATACAATGTATTCTTTCTACAATACGTGAAATTATAATTAATGGATTAAATTAAAATATTTTGTGTCGAACACAATGCAAATATATAAAAAAAAACTGATTATACAATTTTAACAAATTGCCAGGCTTGATGATTACTATTTCGAATAAAAATGCATTCAAGACTATGTCGCAACCCTCTTATATATACGAGCCCTTTCCGAATGCCTGATATTTGTGACGAGATTCAGCGACCGGTGCCGAGAACAGGCGATTCGATTTGAATTTGTTTGCAAATGGCTGTTTGGAAGCCTACGTTTTTTAATCAAATTTAAACGTGTGAAACTAGAATTTACAATGGAAACTGAAAGACTATTACTACAAATATACATTGTAAGTACCCTACATTTATATAAAACTAATTTTCTCATGACAAATTCTTGTTTTCGTAAGAACAACACTCAAATTTTAGGTATAGTGTTGAACAACTAAATAGGTAATAGGTACTCTCAGCATATTTCCGAGTTATTTCCCAAACAAAAATTAATCTAGCATCATAAGATTACAGGGAAATAACCTAAATTCGTTATATTAGAAAAGATTTATTCACTATACCTAGTTACATTATTATTACAATTATGCAGAAAGCTATAAACTTTCAAGTGACAAACTAAGATAATCAGTTCTAAAGTTTTTGTTTGTTTAAAGAAGCTGTAGGATGTAGGTTAGCATTTTATAGTTTTATAGGGTATATAATTAAAGCTTGGTAGGTTCTTATAGAATACAGATGTGTATGTTATTGTTATTACCCAAATATCTGTACCAAACCCAATATTTGGTACATTGTGGGTTGGCTGGTGTTGGTATTTCTGCATTTCTAAAAATAGGACATTGTGACTAAGAATCCGATTGTCTTGAACAAAAGTTTAAGATTCATTAAGTACCATAATATCCATATATTAAATTTAAATGAGACATTATTAAAATTAAAGAAAATAATAAAGTATAATTATTATTGTATAAATAAAGTGACCTTGACATTGACCTTGATTTGATTCATTACATTCATTTCGGTATATTTTTGTAGTGAACAAAAACTGTTTTATAATAATTTTTTAATCAGGTTATCTATAAATTTCTAATATTGAAGACAACGACGTCTAATCAAACAATTACTTGCATAATTAATAGATGATGGCTTTGCGAGCGTTAGGTGGGCACTATTTAAGACATATTTAAAAAGAAAATATAGTGATTTATCTTCATATATTCTACATAATCTACATGGTTCACGAGCTACGAGCAGGGTTGCCAACTCTCCTGGAATTCCGGGATTCTCCCGGAAAAGGGCAATTTGTTTTGACAAAATCTCATGGCTAAAATTTTCCAGATCTTTCACTATGAATAAAAAAATTGAGTGGACTAAATTAAAAGAGTTCTTCTCTCAACATGCCCATAAATGAGGATGAACTGTATGATGATTTATTGCAAGCAAAACAACGAGAGTAGACATGTTTTGGGTTAATTTCATTGAAAAATGTATTGAAGAATCAGGCAATGAGATAAAAAACTTATTTCGTTTGGTCTAATCGCCTTAATGAAACTTATGTCAATACTAAAATTTCAAATAAGTAAATGGTTTAATATCGTGTGTTGCCTCCTCTAGCTCTGGTATGTTTCGAGCAGTGTTGCCAGAATATGTTTTTGTAATGTACCAGATTTGTCTAAAAAATGTACCAGATTGCATAAAAATGTACTAGATTCTATACAATTACCAGATTTTTCTCTCGAACAGCTTTTAAACCTTTTTTATCTCTTAAGCTATTTTTAAACAATATTTTATCTCTTGATACATTTCTAACAGCAATTTTTAAGTTTTAACAACTTTTTTTTATCCCTCGAGCAATGGTTGTACAATTTTTAACACTATTTAACAGCCTTCTTTTACCTCTCAAGCTATTTTTGAACAATATTTGATCTCTCGTGTCATTTTTGAGATATGTCTACTATTTTATTTCTGAAGCCAAGCAATTTTTAACAACTATTTTAATTTCTC